GGGAGCTACAAATCATCAGGTCTTGTGTTCTTTGGAGGGCCAGACACTGGTGAGACTGCTGTGTGTGCACATGTAAGGACTTGAAGGGCACAATGAACTGTCTCAAAACACTGTCAAAGAAGGAAAATTCCATAAGGTGCCACAACACATAAGCACTGGTGGCAAACAGGAAGGCATTTAATTCCAAGACCTAAACAGAGGTGAAGCTTTGGAAGTAGCCCACAGGACAGAATTGCACTGTGCAGACTGTGGGAAAGAGCTGACAGTCCCAACAGGAAGCCAGGGCTGGTAAGGCAAGTCTGGGGAACCCATCCAGGCAAAGATTCCCACCTGCAGACTGGAAGCACACCAGGCAAAACTCCCACCATGGCAAACTGTGGGAAAGGAAGCAAGTCCTTGTACACGTGCCAGCCCAAGCTGTGGGAACAGCATCTACCCCCCGAATACCTGGGGCTTGGGCTGTATAAAAGTGATAGCCCAGAAGCACAACTTGGGGACCCTCCACCGAGCAGAGCAGGGTGAAGAAGGACTGGCAGGAGCCTCAGGGATCTACATGGTGTGATACATTTACTTCATCTCTGTCTCTCTCTCAGTTTTTCCACCACCTCCTTCTTCTCTCTCTCTCTTTCTATTTCTTTCTTTCTCTCCCTCCTATTTACTGTTAAATCAAACCTGGACTGCTGACTTTGGCACTTGGTCTCCTTTGCAGCTGAATTTGGGCAGAAGTGTTACTTAATAATGGGAACCTGAGAGTATCCATGAGGTTTTACAGTGTGGGAATGGCCACTAGATTCCATGAGGTTCCACAGAGTCACAGGGTTCATTTGGCTTCGTAAGGCTCTGTAGTGTGATAATGGACCCTTGATTCCATGGGTTTGCAAAATGTCTCAGGACTCCTTCGGTTCTAGGAGGCCCCACATGTCACAGTGGCCCCTTGGTTCCATGAGATTCCACAGTGTCCCAGGAATCCTTTGGTTCCATAAGGCCTTGCTGTGTCATAATGGCCCCTTGATTCCATGAGGTTCCACAATGTCGCAGGGTTCCTTTGGTTCCATTGAGGCCCTGCAGTGTCACAGTGGCCTTTGAGTCCCTGAGGTCCCTCAGTGTCACAATGGCCCCTTGATTCCATGAGGTCCCGAAATGTCTCAGGGCTCCCTTGGTTCCAGGAGGCCCTTCATGGCACAACGAACCCTTGGTTCCATCAGGTTCCACAGTGCCACAGGATTCCTTTGATTTCATGAGGCCCTGGAGCGCCACAATGGCCCCTTGATTCCGTGAGTTTCCACAGTCTCCCAGGGTTACTTTGGGTCCATGAGGCCTTGCAGTGTCACAATGGCCTCTTAATTCCATGAGTTTTCACATTGTCACAATGCTCCCTTGATTACATGAGATTCCAAAGTGTCCCAGGGTTCCTTTGGCTCCAGAAGGCTCTACAGTATCACCCTTTACTCCAGGAGGTTCCACAGTGTCCTTACTGGAACACACACGGCTGTAATGTTGTCACCCCTGCAGAGCTGCCTCCAGCTCTGGGCTCCAGTACAGGAAGGACATGGACCTGTTGGAGCGAGTGCAGAGGGGAGCAGCAAGAGGATCAGAGGGATGGAGCAGCTCTGCTGTGAGGAAAGGCTGAGAGAATTGGGATTGTTCAGGCTGGAGAAGAGAATGCTTTAGGGTGACCTAATTGTGGCCTTGCAGTGCCTGAAGGGAGCCAACAAGAAAGATGGAGAGAGACTTTGGACAAGGGCCTGGAGAGACAGGACAAGGGGCAGTGGCTTCACATGGATAGAGGGCAGGGTTAGATGGGATATTAAAAAGAAATTCTTTATGGGGAGGGTGGTGAGGCCCTGGCACAGGTTGCTCAGAGAAGTTCTGGCTACCCCATCCCTGGAAGTGTTCAAGGCCAGGCTGGATGGGTCTCAGAACAACCTGGTGTAGTGTCAGGGGGTTGGAACAAGTTGGTCTTTAAGGTCCCTTCCCACCCAAACCATTCCATGATTCTGTGACTGGTGGGGGATGTGGTGGTTGGAGCCGTCAGGCACAGAGACTCCAAAATGGTGGAGTTTTCCTTTCTGAGTGAAGGAGGAAGGGGGCAGCAGAACTGACACCTTGGACTGCTGGTGGCCTGACTTTGGCTCTGCAGAGGGATCTGCACAGGCTGGATCAATAAGGCCAAGTGTCAGGGCCTCTCCTTGGGTCCCAACAACCCCCTGGAACGCTCCAGGCTGGGGGCAGAGGGACTGGAGAGCTGCTCAGCAGGAAGGGACTTGGGGGTGCTGCTTGACAGAGACTGGATATGAGCCAGAGTGTGCCCAGGGGGGCAAGAAGGCCAAGGGCATCGTGGCCTTTGTGGAGAAGAGTGTGGCCAGCAGGAGCAGAGAACTGATTGCCCCTCTGTGCTGGGCACTGCTGAGGCCCCACCTCGAGTGCTGTGTCCAGTTCTGGCACCTGAGTGCAAAAAGGCCCTTGAGGGGCTAGAGTGTGTCCAGGGAAGGGAACGGAGCTGGGGAAGGCTCTGGAAAACATGTCTGCTGAGGGATGGCTGAGGGAACTGGGCTTGTTGAGTCTGGAGAAGGGGAGGCTCAGGGGGGACCTCATTGCTCTCTACAATGACCTGAAAGGAGGTTTTAGTGGGGTGAGGGTCGGTCTCTTCTGCAAAGCCTTTAGCGATAGGAAGAGAGGAAATGACCTTAAGGTACATCAGGTGAGGCTCAGTTTAGATGTTAAAAAAATCCTTTTTCCACTGAGAGAGTGTTGAGGCATTGGAACAAGTAGCCCAGGGAGGTGGTGGAGTCTCTGGAAGTGTTCAGGTGTGTAGTGGGTTGACCTTGGTTGGACACCAGGTGCCCTCCCAGCCGCTCTATCACTCCCCTTCCCAGCGGGACAGGGGAGAGAGTAAGGTGGGAAAAAAAGAAATAGTGGATTGAGATAAGACAGTTTATTTAAAGCCAAAGATAGCAGGGTTTGTTCTCTGCTTCCCATGGGCAGCCATGGTCAGCCACTCCCGAGGAGCAGGGCTTGGGTCCGCGGGACAGTTCCTCAGCAGGCAGCCATTAGACAATGAATGCCCCCCTCCTGCTCCGTGCCTCAGCTTTTAGAGCTGAGCTGACCTCCCATGGTCTGCAATGTCCCTTGGGTCAGTTGGGCTCAGCTGGCCTACTTGGGTCCCCTCCCAGGGTCTTGCCCTCAGCTAAGGAAGGAATGTCCCAGTGTTGGTGCTGTGCTCAGCAGTGGCCAAAACACTGGTGTGTTCTCAACACCCTTCCAGCTGCCAATGCCAAGCACAGCCCTGGGAGGGCTGCTCTGGGGAACTGAACTGCAGCTCAGCCAGACCCAACACAAATATCTATGGCACATATTCTATAGAATCCATCCTTAGGTGTTGTATGATAGATCTATAAGATATTACAAATAATAAGCAATAATAAGGCAAGTGTTCTCCTTAGGGACACCCCCTCCCCAAACTACTCGCTGTGTTTGTTCCCTGGGGGTCTCTGCAGCAGCAAACACAGCACCACACTGACTGCTCTGGGCTGTGCAGGCATTTGTGGTTCTGCCTGTCTCACACACACACCCAGCCTTGGGATGGATCAGGATGTCACTGGATGTGATGTCACAGGGAGATGTGATGTCATAGGATGGATGTGAT